GGACGGGAACCAATACTGGAGACAGCAAGCAAGCAGCAGACACACACCATCATGATCAGACGTTAAGTGCACATGCCTCATTTGTGAAAGATGTTCGCTGTCTCGTCGGTGTCATAGAGGAGATGGGCAACCCATTCGAGGAGGAGAGTCAAGATCTAGTCACACTGGACACAAAGGACATCGCAGGTCATTCTGCAGTGGAGACCGTGATGAAAGCCAAGAGGATTGGGCAAGACCAGTCCGAGGCTTTCACCAGCGAGTGTCTGTTGGACAGAACAAAAGCCGTGAAAGACCCCATTCCTCGTGACAAAGCTGAAGGTATTCAGCACTTCCACTCCAAGAAACAAGAGTAAATTTTAGGAACAGTTCGCCTCTGTCAAAAATTACCGTGAACTCGTTGCACGCCTTTACATTGGCTGGCAGATGAGGGATGGAAACCTTGAGGAGTTCTTTCGTCACAAGAACCAGGCATGTCCTCCTGCACTGTCTGCTGTCTTCACGTGTACTTAGAATGATCTCACCACAGGCTTTGAAGAAATCTTCGAAGCCAAGACAGAGACTCCTGTCACTACCTATACAGCTCTTGATGGAGCAGTCATCGCCCAGATTGGCTGCATTAAATTAAAGACATTTGAAGAGTATGCTCCTAAGATCTTCATCCCATATGGCAAGAAGACTGCGTGGGCAGTCTGGACGGTACTGCCAGAACTCACTGAGGCGCTGCTGCTGGTGTCCTCTGCACCACGTGACATACCAAACGATGCAATGTCCATCATCAAGAGGTTCGTGATCCTGTTGTATGATCGAACCAGCAAATGCACGGACAATGACACGGCCAGGAAGAAACTTTTCGCAAGGAAGAACGATGTGCAGCTGATCCCTCCAAAGTAGGCAGCTTTAGAGGAACATGTCAAGAGGGGAGTGTATTGAGGTGGAAATGTGTGGGGACTGATACGTTTGCCAGCACCAGAGCTCTCTCCACAAAACAACTAGGGTTGGTCAATGACTGGAGGACAGTACACATCATACTGGACCTGGCTACCCGAGGCAGCTCACAGCTGCATTGAGCTGGTTTCTTGCAAGTGCCATTTATGGTGCGTGAGGCTCTGCACATGCAAGAAGACTGCCCTCTGTGTATGTGAAGGGGACTGCACAGGACGATGAGTTCACAACATACATGTACTTGTTGCAGTGCT